GGCAAATGCATCCAGTTGGGAAGTATCCAACTGAGAACAACAGAATACCTTGGGTTTGAGAGGTCACTCTATAGGTAAAATCTTGTTGTAACAAAGCAGACAAGTCACGACAAGATTGGGGGCATCTGGTAAGTGAAAAGCCAGCAAACATATTTGATGGCTGAGCCCAGAAGAGGTGGATATTTAGAGTGTGGGAACATGAGGACTAGTATCAAGCAATCCCTTCCTTGTCTGATGATGCAAAAAAATTGTCGAGTTGTTGGAAGGAATCATAACTGTCATGCCCCACAGAGATGACAGAAAATGAACCATTGTCTGATGAACAGCAAATAGTTTCAAAAGATTGTTGTGAAGAGATAACTACTTCTGAGATCAATGGCCCGAGATCTCCCATGTATTGCAGCATGCACCCCATCCTGACATGGATATCTGGACAGGGTAGAGGAACAGGTACTCTCACTGTCAAGTTGTTCCTTTCTAACCACCAGAGGAAGTCAGACTGAAGGAAAGCAGGAAGATACATCTGTAAATCCAGGTGGCCCCTGAGGAGGTGCCACTAATCTTGTAGTACACACTGCAAGAAATTCATGTGGGCATAGTCCAGAGGGATAAGTCTCCACTGATACCCAAGTTCTCAAAAGAGACAGAACCTCTTGTGCATGGAGAGAAGGTGCTGATAGTGCCCTCTAAACTAACAATTGTAAGGCTCTCAGATGTAGAGGAGAAGGCTGGATTCGACTAAGATGAAAGTTGATAAAAACCCCTAGATGAACAAGATATTGAGTGGGGTGGATAAAGGACTTCTCCATCTTAATAATCCAACCAATCCAAGCAGCTTTCCTGAGAAGTTGGGTGAGTGAGGAAGACTGTGAAAGATGGAGCTAGAAGAAGCCAATTATCCATATATGATGGAAACTGAGCCCACAAAAATGCAGGAATCGGTCAAATGACTCGACTATTTGAGAGAAAACAAAGGGTGCCGATGCCAGCCCAAAAGGAAAAGTTCATATTTGATAACTGTGATCCTTGTAGATTGTTTATTTTTGTTTTTGAATTTCGCGCAAAGCTACACGAGGGCTACACGCTAGCCGTCCCTAATTTAGCAGTGTAAGACTAGAGGGAAGGCAGCTAGTCATCACCACCCACCGCCAACTCTTGGGCTACTCTTTTACCAACGAATAGTGGGATTGACCGTCACATTATAACGCCCCCACGGCTGAAAGGGCGAACATGTTTGGTGGAACGGGGATTCGAACCCTCCTTGTAGATGAAACGTAGATAAGTACAAGCAATAGCAGTGTGAAGGTGTCCAATGTCGAATCTCGTCATCCAATGCCCTGGAAGAAAGGCCCATTAGAGATACAAGTAGGATTCTGTGGTTAACCAAGGTGCATCAAGGAAGTGCTTCAGACAGGAGATATTGATAACAGGATGCCAATCTCTGGTCTTCTTGGGGATGACAAAAATCATTGGGAATAGAATACTGAAAGCACAGGAGAAACCTGTTCAATGGCATCTTTGATGAGAAGGTTTTGAACTGCTTCTGTGAGATGCTGGTGGAAAATGGGATATTGGGAGGGGTGAAAAGAACTGGAACACGGGGATAAGGTGGAAGGAAAAGGAGGGAGAATCCTTACAAAACTCGAATGAACCAAGAGTCAGTGGTAAAAGTCTCCCACACTTCAGAGAAACGAATGAGACTGGCTACCAGAAGACCCAAAAACATAAGGTAGTCACCAGTGCCACTGACATCATACAGAGCATCAGTGAACAGTGGTATGACATGTAGATGGGGTCTGAGAGGGAGGAATCAGTAAAGGAGAGGAAGAAAGAGGACTGGAAATGGGAACTGGAGAAGGAGGATATTGGGAAGTAAGGGAAGTGTGCAATCTGGCAGATTCAGCACGAGGCTCGAAGATGTCTGAAGCCAAATGTGCAGGTAAAGGGCAGACAATCTGGATAAGGTGGTGAGAAGGAGAATATTGGCTTCCACTGAAAAACCCTTGGAAAAACAATGGAGAGCCTCAAACAACAGATGAATGGGTGACAAATAATGAAGGAGTGCCTGAGAAAAAAACAAATTATCAAGGTCCAAACCCCAAAGCAAAGATAGGAAAGGATGTCCAATTCTGCATCATCTTGATCAAAATCCTCAGGTAATGGCAGAACTGCTTGCAGATTAGAGGATCCTTTGGCCCACATGAAAGAAGTCTATGGCCAACAATTCCTCCACCTATAACACCACACCTGTAGTCATGGGCAGGTGAGCACTGGTACCATTGGTAGCCACTACAGTCGTAATATTAAACTGTGAATTCATGAATATTGACTGACTACTGGTAATTGAGTGAGAAATAAAATTCACAATCAAATAAAGAAATCCAACTCAGTTTGGAATTATAAACAATGCTTGGATATGCAAAAATTAGCAATGAGTATTGTCAAAACTGCACTAAAGAAAAGAAAAAAAAAGTTTGAAATAAACACCAGATCTTAACACTGTTGTGCCAAATCGAGAAGTGAAGATTGGGTTCAACTGCTAATTTGCATGCTTAACTCTATGGCAACCGTGTGCTACAATTTGTAGCATGTAACGTCGCTCTTGTCATATTTCATTCCAAAAATAAAACTAGTATATGAAATTGTATAAAATTTGAAAAGTATGTAGTTTGAGAAAAATAAAACATTTAATTTTGATTTTTTCTACTATTTATGAAAAAAAAATTCGTTATTTAATATAGTTATTTGCACTCGCACTTTGAATATTTCACCTGCAAGATGATTTTTATATGAAGTATAAAGATACTATTTTTTATCTTACAGTTTTCACATATCATTTGTATAAACTCTAGGACCTCATATATGAATACAAAAAGTTTTTTTAAGTAAATATTTATATTTTATTTTCTATTGTCTCTATTATACCTATCTATTATCATCATCATATAGTGCAATGAAATGTATAAAATTCAGAAATGGAAATATGTATATACTATTCAACTCTTCAAAGAATAATCATATTTTTTCTTATATAATTTCAAGTCTTTATCTTTTCACGTAGTTTATTTTTTATTTTCCTTTCATTTTCTTCGTCTATTACCATTTATACCCATACATTAATTGATGCCCATTAAACCATATAAATATGATTTTTAAAAGAAACATAATACATAATTAACAAAATATAAAAATAAGACCTAAATACAGTTTCTGTCTCTCTAACTATAGCATATTTAGGTAGGAAACACCATGCATGCTATAGTCAATCAAGCAGACAACACTAAGAATGGCAGCTACACGTACACTGTAAAGAAAACTGTGCACCAATTTTAAATTAACTGTTGGTAGAATTTAGTGTAAACTGAGCTCTTTCTAACAACTATATACACTTGTGTCAACTAACTACATGCATGATGTAAATCTCAAGGCAAAGTATAGAAGGTAGGCATGGCAACCATCAAGGGTTGGAAAATTTATATCTGCTTCTCAGACAACCCAGCTTGCAGACTAGATATGACAGAATAATTACTGATGAAACTGCATATTTGGATTTTGAATACAATAGATACATGTGTATATACAAGTCAAAAATTGAGGTGCATAATTAAAATAACAGGACAGAAACCCATTGGATAGTTTCTATGACACTTGTAATCTGACTTATTCAGTGACTTATTGTTCAGGATTAAAGAGTTGAAATCAATGTTACCAATGATAACAGAGGGTTGGGTACACTGTATTTAAATTATTTTGAATATGCTAATGAACAAGTCATGTGACAAACATAACCAATATGTAATGGCATGTATCACAATTACATTTTGACATTGTCTTGGGGTTTCATAAGCAGTGTGATGCCAACAAACATTTATCATATTTGGGAAGGTATTTAACATTAAAATGTGTGTTCAGATTGAGAATTAAAAATTTTAAAGATTGGGTTTCTTTTGTGTTTTATACCATTAAAAAACAAACTAAATATACAATGTTTTTGTCTTAAAGCATGTTATCAATGCCACTTTATGTATGTACATCATCATCTGGCTTCAAATCATATTAACAACACTTACTGAAGACAACTAATTCCAAAGTTGCTGTACTGCTGTAAAAATATGTGAAGAAAAGAGTGCATTTAAATGTTATGTTAAGTGAAAAAATAACATATAATAAATAAAGCAATACCAATTAGAAGGAAAATATTATGAAACATCTACAAGGTGATAATTTGTTCCCTGAAAAGACATGTCTAAATCAGTAAATTTAAATTGTGTTTTATACTGTTACCTATATTAATGCATTTAGTACTGCAACTTTTATACTTTGAAACACATTTACTCAAAACTTACTTAAAAATAAATAAATAGCACAAAATGAATATTTAGTTATCATGAGGCAACTACTAATACCGAGATCAAACTTTCAAGGTATATCTTTTGCATTCTCTCCGTCCATTCAGATGCCTACAGAAGTCATGAATCTTGTACTAATGTAAACATGTCCTTTTAACTAACTTGTATTCCAAAATTTTTCACCACATATTACACATAATATTAAACAGTTTGGTTTGTTTTGAATTTCATCTAAGCTACACAAGAGCTATCTGCACTAGCTGTTCCTAATTTAGCAGTGAAAGACTAGAGGGAAGTCAGCTTGCCACCACCACCATCAACTCTTGGGCTACTCTTTTGGCAATGAATAGTAAGATTAACTGTCACATTATAATGCCTCTACAGCTGAAATAGTGAGCATGTTTGGTGGGACAGGGATTCAAAACACAAGTCAAGCTCCCAAACCACTTGGCCATGAAGTATCAGACAGATAAAAAAATGTATACATTTGAAACAAAAAATTCAGTTACTTTCTGAAAAACAAGAAAAAAACAGTGACCTACAAAAGGCCCTCTTATAAGAAACTGTCTTAAGGAGAAATTTACAATCACTAAGGTCAAACAACAGCTAATATATGTTGAGGGAAGGTTTTGTGAATATAATACTCATTAATGATAGCAAATGTTAACAGGTTTATTGTATTTAATCACACTGAGAAAAAAAAATCAATACTATAATCTTCCATAATTTAATGTTCACACATGTATTTCTATTGTTCTTAATTGAGAGTTTTATACTTAAAACAGTTTTCTGCAATTTGCTCTCACAGAACTATGCTTAACATGATATCATCTAATAATAATAATTCAATCACTGGTTTATACTGTTGTGTAATTCAAAATTTGCCTGGGGTCAGATAAGTACAAAACTGTTTAACTAGTACTGAAGCAGAAAGTACGACTGGGAAAATAAATAACTGCAGTATATGACAAGTAACTTCAAAGTGAGACTGCTTAAAGTTTATGGTTTATTATATTAGCAAGCAGCTGGAGCTCTGATGGGTTCATTTCATCTGTCCTAACTTTTTCATCTGAAAATAAACAAACCCAAAATTTCTGAACATTTTTGCATATCACAACTTTGTCATTATATATCACTAAAATATTTCTAAAGTAGTCACATTTATGTATAAGTGAAGGAAAAGTGCAAATAAATTGAAATTATAGAAGAAAAAAATTGTAAACATCACTGTGAGAGAAGAAATATGTTTCAGCCACATACATTCAATCAGGCCTGATTTAATGTTTAACACCACAAATGTACCTGCTACAGGTGTGTGTAATTAATTTACATATGATTCAATGCCTGTGAAAATATTTCTTTGAGAGACAAGAGATTTTGCCCATATTGTTTGTTCAACTGCTAAAAAAAAACTTTGGAAAGATTGATAAGGATCTATGAAGTTTTAAAAATTCTGAACTAGGAAAATCTAGCACACGAAAACTATACCGAAACCAAAAAATAATCCATGTTTCAGTATTTTGCTTGTTATGAATCAATCTTTTAATATATTTATGTATTGTCATTTTACTAAATTTTCTAAAAAACTATTTTTGTGCCACTTCTGAAAAAATAAGATATTTAATGTAGATATTATGATTAATAAATATTACAGGTTTATAAAGATTATGCAAACAGCTGGGTTTTTAGTGTATTTTATCTTGCTTTCTGAATGTGTGTGAATCCCCCCCCACACACACACTTTTTTTACTATACTAAATAAAATTTTGTTCTATTTTTTGCATGTTTGTTTTTCAGAGTGGAAAAGGGAAAATGTATTTTTATGAAGGACATTTAGATTTTTTTAGCCTCTTGTCTCTCAGACAAGTTTCTTCAAATATACATCCCCTTCAACTAATACAACCACAAATAAACATTTACACATGTGTTTTATACATATCTCTCTTATTATCACATCACACCTAAATATATCTGCTACCAAAACAATGATAAAATTAAAAGACTATAGAGTCTATCTCCAGCAAGACATGCATGTATATGTTGCGTGCTTACTTACAGCATTTTGAAAGCATTCCTTTAATATTCTGAATTCTCTCTCACATTCATATTTCTGGATATTATCTTTTGAGCTTACACATAAGGCATAATTTGCTGCCTGAAAAAAAGAAAAAGTTATAGTATAAATTATTTGTATAGAATAACAAGTTATGATGTTAATAATACCTTTCTAGGGTTTGATCCCTTGACCATTGACACAATAGTGTGTGCACTAGATAAAAGTTCTTATAAGTTATGAGAAAATGAGTGAAACTAAATAATAATGTAATAATATGTCGACCACACTACATGGTGTCCAAGAATTTTGGAAACACCTTTGCTTTTGAAAAATCATCCTAGGAAAACCATTTAACACAGATACATGGTTTGTTGTATATGCAAGAATAAAGTTTGAAGTACTTCTCATAGCATGTGAACATGTGAGAGACAATCCAAAAATAAATGTCTGAGCAGCAACCACCCATAATACTGTCACTGGTCTGTTCTTCTTTGAAAAGGCAATTTTTTCAAGGTACACATACCTACATGTGGCAGTTTTATCTTGCCACAGTTAGTAATATTACAACCTAACACGTTATTCCAGTAAGACAGTGCCACTCCATGTTATTCCAAGTAAGGTTGAATTGTGTCAATGTCTCCAAGAAACCTTCACAAAGGTTACTCCTGCAATGTTTCAAATCACTTGAATTATAGTGATTGTACACCGTAGAAAAATTTATAAACATTATTATTTCACATGCAACAAACCACAAGTCTCTATGTTAAATATTTTTTTCAGTATGATTTAAGTGTTTCAAAAATTCCTTGACACCATGTATATCTTCTACATCCAATGTCAATTAGGCCTGTCATACAATACCAGGGATCAGATGGCTGGCTGGGAATAGAGCTACCATGACACAAGTCTCATGCGGATAACTCACACCCCGACTATTGAAATACTATATATAAACATAACACTTAAGGACAGCAAGTGGCCTCATGTTTCATTTAGGACATTCTATCCACTAAACTACAAAAAAGATATATATATATATATACGTATATCAGCTCCAATTCTCACCATTAAGTAGGTAAAAAGTTGATGCATGTGCAATAGCAATTGCCTTAAAAATCTTAAACAGCTCAATTATATCCCCTTTAACTCTTATTTTTTCAATAAAAAACAATTACAGGGTTTTTAACATGTTCTAGTATGGCAAACCTTTCCATCCTGAGTAAAATCCTAGTAGCCCTCTCCTGAATCTTTTCCAATATTTCTGGTTTCTTCCTAAGGTAAGGAGCCAAGATTACACACAATATTCCAAATGAAGTCTAACCAGCCAGTGGCTGTATAAAATGAAATTATAGCCTCTTTAGATATGTATTCTGTATTTCTGTAAACATAACCAAAAACTCTGTTTACCCCGCCACTAGCAACAGCACACTGCCAAGAAGTCTTAAGAGACTGATCAACCAGAATACCAAGATTCATTTATTGTATAACATTGTTACGGTTATTCCACCAAAATTATGTTTATTATTCAAATTATAACATCCCACATGCATTACTTGCATGAATTACAGTTAAAATCCATCTGCTATTTACTTGTCCAATTCACCAAATAATCTAAATCTATTTGTAAAGCAACAACATCCTCCTTACAGTTAGCAACAACCAAGACCTTAATATCATCAGCACATTTAAGTAATTTATTGAACATTCTTGAATGCCAAGTTTAGGGGTGGGAAGTACAGTAGTTGCCCCAAGGTCCCACAGGTAAGGGGGGACCTGCCCAATCCTGGGCCATTTTTTCTTCAGGGCCTCTGTTCAAGATAATTTAATAAGCTATTGTTCAGTGTCATTTTTTGTTCATTATTTTGAGGCTCAAAGTAAGCAGTGCCCCTTTCACCTTCACAATTAATTTTGACACTTCTCTGTTCACTAGGAACTCATTATGTAGTTTTGATTATTACAAGGACACTCAGTTCAAATATCTTCTTTCAGCTAGGTTATGTTAAATGTTATTTCCGTCTAACAAAGGTTATCCACTAAATGCCTCATGTTGCAATTCATAGGAACACATGAACCAACAAAATTGAATTCTGTTAAACATCAGTATGTTGATGCTAATTCTTACATAAAATTCACAAATTCTTTCAATAATAATAACCTCCGAGTGTGGTGAAGATGGGCCTCAAACAGCTTTATTGATCTGTTCCCTATCTACTGATATTCTGCTTTATTAGAAATTCAAATAGCATGCAATGAGACCCCTTTCATACTGGATCTTGCAAGTGGTCCCATGGGCATCGACTGTCCAGAACCATGAAAAGAGTACAGGACAATTTAATTCAGTGCCATGCTAAGTAGTCAAAATATCTAAAGTCAGAAAAATAGATACATTCCTGAAAACTTGAAAAGAAGAGGAAAGACAGTACTAGAGATATGCATTGCACATAGTAGTAGAGTGCCTGAAGTTTCTGAGCAAATGAGGTTTGGCTTTTGGAGGAGACAATGAGGACATTGGTAACTTTGAGTGTGTAAATTTTCTTGGAGCTATTGAATGTTTCACAAATTTTGACCAATTTATGGCAAAGCATCTCGAGACACAAGGTAATCCTGTCTTCCACAACCTATGAAGAGATTGTTATTTTGATGGGGGGGGGGGTTCTCAATGCAATTTCTGATGTAGTGACTTGTGTAAAGTACATTTCTATAATCATCGATTCATTGCTAAATATCTCCCACTGTGATCAGCTAGTCATCATATTGCACTATATTAGTCATCATGTGGACATACAAGCAATCAATGGCTGATGTAGCATTGTGGAAGTTCAGAAATACTGGCATAGATAGATCTACAAGATGCATGTGAACAGTTGTATGACAATGCTTCCAATATGTCCAGGAAGTATATCAGCTTGAAAAACAAAAAGTACATAGACTATGTTCCTTGCACAGCACATTCTTTGAACTTGGTAGGAGTCAATGCAGTAGAAAGATGTCAGTGTGCTTCTGACTTTTTTCACCTTTTTTTAGCTTCTGTACAATTTCTACATTTCTTTTACACACTAATGGGAGAAGATTTGTTCAGGTCTAACAAGTAGAAAAGATAGGCCTGTTATATTGCGGAGTCTTAATAAGATGTGATGGCCTGCAAAAGCAATTTTGCTGAAAGTGCTATATGAAAAATACAATGAGATCTATTTTAGACTTAAGAAGATGTGCAAAGACAGTGAGGAGAGCTGCAATACTTGCCATGAAGCAAAGACCCTGTTGAAGAAAATGGAATCACTTGATACTACTTTCATGACTGTTTTGTGGCATACAGTCCTGAAAAGATTTGATGCAATGGGATCTGTCAGTTGATGAAGTCTAGAGCAGAGCACATTAACACTCTTTGTAAGGACTTCCAGGTGAATGAAGATAGAGCTAGAAACTTGTCAGATGCACTAGAGCAGTACATGAGCGAAAGTTCAAGAAAACAAGCCGTTAACTGTCAGCTGACAAAACTGAAGTACCATTGACATTAGTATAGAAATTTTGGGTTGAGTGTTTCACCTCAGTCATTGGCAAGCTAGTTGCATGTTTCAATGATTGTCTTTCAGGTTTCCTCACCAGCTTCAAGAATATATATATGCCTGTTCCCAACATTTCAGTGGCAGCAGAGAGCCTGTGCACAGCTTACCTGATCAATTTAGGTGTTTCTTGTACAGAAGAGATGGTGCACTTCTTTAAGTTCATAGAAAGTGATGTTACCCTGTTGGCAGAAAAATGCCTACAAGTGATCCAACACAAATAATTTGAATCTGTCTTTCCTAACATAGATGTAGCATTTCAGATTTATCAAGAGTCCACCGCCAATTACTATATGTAGTGCAGAAAGGGTGTTTTCATAAATTGCTAGAGTGAAAAATGAATTTTGGTCTTTGATGCAAAATTGTAATCTCAACATGCTCTGCTTAATGAAAATCTAACCATGTTTTCATGCATAAATTTTGATGCCATCATTTCAGATTTAATTACTGTAAAGGCATGGAAAAAGACATTGTAAAGATATAGTTTTAATGTTTCATAGCTCAAGCAGAGTAAGCAGCGATGAATGATCAGTTTTGTGCTGAACCCTTCAATTGGAACATGTTTCACTACAGACTGATTTTCTTTCTGATTAAGATTTTCCTACAAGACACAATGTTTGTTAGATTCTGAATATATGCCTTTTTGTGAAACAATGAAATAAAAATACATTGTTACCTTCTAGCCTTTCCAATAAAAACACAGTACAAAATCCTTAAAATAAATCAAATCCTGTTTATGCTACGGATACCTACAGTGAATAAATCATACTAATATTACAAGTTTTGAATGTTTAAATGCTCTATCTTAGGATTAAGTAATTTAAATTCACATGATTAGCTATGAACCCTGTGGAACAGAAAATAAGTTTTGGGATGATGAAGAAGAGCCCCCCCCCCCAAAAAAATAAGTGCCAGGGCTCCCGAGACCCTAAATCTGGTTTTGCCATTCTTTCCCCTATGTCACTGATGTAAAACAAAACAAGCAACAGTCCTACTGCTGAGGTCTGATGCGCTCTACTTGCTCTACATTAATCCAGTTTAACTGAACTTCATTTATACACAAGTTTAAGAGAAAGCTTGCTAACTATATAATGATAAGGGCTGGCTTTAAGATTTTCTTTTTTGCATTTATTTATTTAATCCCTTCTCATCAAGTTGACATAGTTTGTATCACTTTGACTGGGAAAGGACAGTTATACAAAAATAAATGGTAACCCTGAGCATTCCTCACAAAACCTTGTAAGATTTCTGTTAAAGTTTATAAGTATTTTGTACAAAAAGAATGACATTATCTTAATTACATCTTTCTAATAAAAATTTTATTTATCTATAGTAATTATCTGCACTCAAACTGTTAAAATAATTCTAGTGCAAGGTGATTTTCATTTTAAGTATAAAAATTCTTTTCTTTGTCTTATAGTTTTTCATTTATATAACCAATAGAATTTCCTAAATGAATATCAAAGTTTCATTTCCTCTACCATATCACTAACTTTACCTATTATCATCAACATACAATCCAATGAAATAATTATA